CGGAGGCACGGGGGCTGCCCGAAGCCGGTAGCGCTGGCTCGGGCAGCTTGGCTCTTAAACAGAGCCGAAGTCTGAGTCAGGGGAGGAGCAGAGCAGCTGGAGCCGGGGAGGAGAAGTGCCCAGCCGGCGGCTGGGGTCCGGAGGCAAGGGGGCTGCCCGAAGCCGGTAGCGCTGGCTCGGGCAGCTTGGCTCTTAAACAGAGCCGAAGTCTGAGTCAGGGGAGGAGCAGAGCAGCCGCGGGAGAGGAAGTGCCCGGCCGGTATTTTTCCCGGACATGCTCGGCTTTTTGGCAATTCCCCCCGGACGGGGGTTTGATTGCCAAAAAGCCGGACATGTCCGGGAAAAACCGGACGTATGGTAACCCTACTCACTACAAAAGCAGTTTTCCCTCTCTGGGTATTGACACCTCCTCATCAATTATTGGGAGTGGATCACATCCACCCTGAGTGAATTGGCCCTGTCAACACTGGTTCTCCACTTGTAAGGTAACTCCCTTCTCTTCATGTGCCAGTATATTTATGCCTGTATCTGTAATTTTCACATTAATTTTCACTCCTTGCATCTGAAGAAGTGGGGTTTCTTACCCAGGAAAGCTTATGCCCAAATAAATCTGTTAGTCTCTAAGGTGCCATCGGACTCCTCGTTGTTTTTGTGGATACAGACTAACACGGCTACCCCTCTGATATCAAAAGATAGTTTTAATTAAGATACATTATAGCTCAAAGATATCTCATCATGGAATAGGGATTATAAATTCTAATTCTATAATATGAGACAATATATTCATGTAATGGTTAAGAAAAGTTTTGTAAACGAGTTCCAATAGTTCATGGATTAGGGACCCAATCTTATGGGGTTTCAGGGGCTTCTGTATAGATTATTTAGGTTAATCTTTCTATCTACCCAATGGGACTCAGTGCTCAGTCTAGAAGGTACCAACAGAGATGCTTAGTTTTGCAGTTCTCCAACTGTGGATTTGTGTCTCCAGAGATAACATGCTTGTTAACAGCAAAAATGTTTTTAAATAAATAAATAATATATAGAGGTGAGAAATAACAGACCTCAGCCCCATTGTCCCTCTGCAAATTTGTGTACACAGAGTCAATCCCTTACCTCTCTCTAAAAGTGCAAAGTTTCAAAAAGTTCAGTGAATAGAAGATTGTTGGGGGCGGAATAGATCTGGACAAGGAGAAGTCTGGAGATAAATGTGAGAAGGGAGAGACAGGCAGTAGAAACAAAAGTGAAACTGTTCGAGCAGCATATTCCAGAAGTCTTGAGGTCTTTCCGAGTCTAGCCTTCATTGATTTGAGATCTACCACATCATTCTCTCCCTAGAAAGGAAAACCTATAATGGCAGCAGGCCATAAAAGAGACCCAGTTTGGGAATATTTTAATGAAGTTCCTCTACCTGTGGGTAAGACAGGCGTGCGTGCAAAATGCAAACAGTGCAACAAAGAAATGCAAGGCCTGGTTGCCCCAATGAAACAACATCATGAGAAGTGTTCCTTCTCAGGAGGAAGCTGCGTGAAGATGATGAAAGGAGCATGTCTGAACATGCAGGATCTTCAGGTTGGTACTTTTTAATTTCATACTTCTTTCTTAAGGACTGCCTGTCTTCCTTCTAGACTATTCTTGAATTCTCATGTTTGAGCAAAAAATATAGTTGTTACTCTATGGTACTATCATTTTAGATGCAGTTGTGATAAAAGATAAATAGCTGAAATAGGCAGATCTTCCTTTTACAATTTCACCTTTAAAGTAGTACTGAGTGTCAGTGAATGCAATGAGTAATACTAAATGAGCAGTATGGTAATAATAATTAAACAACTGCATTGACTTATTTTGTTTAGGAGAATCCACCCTCAACATACAGGATACTGAAGACTATCCACCTTCAAATCCACCATTATTTTCTATAGTTTCAGAGTTATCTGCCAATGATAATGTTTCAATCACATCATGTATGTCACATAGTCACCTGTAGCAAAAAGAAAAAAAAATCTCCATCATCCAAAAACAACCATAGATAAGTTTGTAATAAGAACCAGGAGATTACAAAAAGAGGTAATTGATGAAAAATTTCCCGGTTTGTTTATGCAACAAATTCTCCTTTCCTTATGATTGAGAACCCACACTTCATTAACATGGTTCAGTCATTAAGGCCAGGATACAGTCCACCCAACAGAGCAGATGTCACAGGCAAACTGCTGGATAAAGTGTCTGAAAGAGAAATTGAGCAATGTGTAAAAGGTCTAGAGGGTGAAATTGTTAACCTGAGTCTTGAGGGGTGGAGCAATGTCCACAATGATCCTGTTGTATGTGCTTGTGTGACAACAGAAGAAGGGAATGTCTTCCTTACAGAAACAATTGATACACCAGGAAATGAACACACAGCAGAATACTTACAAGAAGTAGCAGTAAAAGCTATAACAAACTGTGGAAAAAAAAATTCAAATGTCTAGAATGCAGCTTGGTCACAGACAATGCTGCAAATGTATCTAAGATGAGAAGAAATTATTTAGAAGAGAGTCCCAAGCTAACAACATATGGTTGCAGTGCTCATTTGATACACCTCCTCGCCAAAGATTTCAGTGTTCCAGAAATAAAGGCTAATGTTGTTGAAATTGCAAAATACTTCCGTAACAACCACTTTGCAGCAGCTGCCCTGAAAAAAGTGGGAGGAACCAAGCTAACTCTCCCACAAGACGTGCGATGGAACTCAGTAGTGGACTGTTTTGAACACTAGATCAAGAACTGGCCTAATCTGCTGACATTTTGTGAACAAAATCGTGAACAAATAGATAGCACTATCACAGCCAAAGTTCTCAACATTCGGCTTAAGAGAAATGTTGAACACATGCTGAGTACCCTGAAGCCTATTTTGGTAGCCTTGAACAAACTGCAGGGAAATAGCTGTTTTATTGCTGACTCTGTTGAAATTTGGAAGGAACTGAGTGAGATCTTAAAAAGAGAAATATGCAATGACAGAGTTAAATTACAAGCATTAAAAAAAACGAATGGGACAAGCACTATCGCCAGCTCATTTTCTTGCAAATATTCTCAATACTCGGTACCAGGGTCAAACCTTAACTGCTGAAGAAAGAGTTGGTTGTGACATGGACATCCAGCAATCATCCCTCCATAATGCCAACTATAATAAACTTCAGAGCTAAGGGTGAACCATTCAAGAAATATGTTTGCTGATGATGATTTAAAGAGAGTCTCACCAGTGAACTGGTGAAAGTCACTTAAGCACTTGGATTCAGAGACTGAAGTGATAATCTCACTTTTAACAGCAGTAGCACTCCCTGAGGCATAAAAGTCAAATGGCCAGATCCCTTTGGAGTGCTGGTACCTCAATCCATATAACTTACATACTTCACAGGGACATTGTAAGTCTCTTTTCATTACTGTTTGCACAGTTCCCTGAAATCCTCAGAGGGAGGGTGTTGCAGAAATACAAAGTCACCTTATTATATTCCCATTGGTCCGCAGGCACCCGGGAAGCCTTCAGTGCCAGTGCTTAAAGGCATTACAATGTACACAGACATCAGACCCCACTGAGGTTACAATATGCCTATTGGACCACATCGATTTCACAGAGATTCAAAAGACAGATCAACTTACATATGACATTAACCACCCAACCATCATAAAAATACTCAAACACCCCAGGACCCACTGAGGACAAAGGAATAAATACATACAGAGTTTCTAGGCCAAGCCACTTTTGAAATAGTACATTCAACAACAATATAAAACTAGACATTACACCAGCTCTACAAAGTGAAATAGCTCAGTTCTGTTTTTCCAATCTGTTCTATTTCATAAATATCTTGGCCCAATGGTCCTCCACTTTTCCCACAAAAAATTCTCCTGTCTCAGAGTATACATGAGGAATTTCAGATGGATTGGTTCATTCTGGACCAACTCAGGGAGTGTTCAAAATCAGACTCCTGATAGAACTCTAGTCACAATCCTAAGTACAGAGAGAGGTGACCACCTCTCCTTAATTGCTATCTTATTTTTTAGTAGATTCTTTTCTAGTTGATACTTACAGCGTATTCAGCTACAACACCTTTGTAAATCTCATAGAATTCTTCCACATTCGCACGTTCCATGTTGAACTATGCAAAGGAAAAGGGTGAAAATGTTAGCCGAACTGTCTCAGGAGAAAAATCCAGCAAGCATTTAGCATACTCTTTATTTACCCCATAATGTATTTTGATGGTTTCCCCTGTGATAGGAAGGAAGGCTTTGAAGGATTCTTTTGCTGATGATGCACGGGGCAGATAGGTTCCAGATCATTCTTCAATAACCCAGCAAGCCCATACAACTAAGCAGTAAATATTGTATTTTCTCCATGAAGTTGGCAGATGCCACTTAAAGATAAATCAGGAGCAGGATGGGTTCAATAAAACCATTTTTACACAGTTCCTTTTCTGACCATAACTGTACTCTAAATTCCAAATTCGATTAGAAAGCCCAGCACCTCAGCTTGCACTAATTGATTCATTAATGGAGTCTCAATGAGCAAGCAAATAGGCCAAGGAGGCTGAACGACCTTCTGAATTCTCGAGTTTGTCCTTCCAGGTCAGGATTGAAGCATATTAGTGGGGGCTATGTGGGGGAAACGTTCGCTTTGCTTCTTCCCATGTTGAAACTGCTCTGTGGCCAAATAGATGATTTCAGTCTCAAAGGCTTTCACAAGTATTAAGGGTGGGATTTTCAAAATCCCTTAGGCAACTTTGAAAATCCTATCTTAAATTCACACTAAATGTTATATAAAAAAAACTCTAAGCAGATTATTATTAATACTTAGCACTTTTCATGAGTAGATCTCAAAGTGCTCTATAAAAGACGTCAGAATCATTACTGCCATTTTACAGATGAAGAAACTGAGGCACGGAGAGGCAAAGTGACTTGGACTTGTCCAAGATCCCCCATCAGTGATACACCAGCCATAAATTTAAAAGAAAAAAATCCTAACGTTGACAACCTTGTCACCCCATCTACAAAAATAACTGTCCCCTCAAAAATATGAAAACAACCCTCCCCAAAAACCCTGCAACAACCATATCACCCAATCAAACAAACAAACAAAAATATACCCCCAAACAGTTCTGATGCTAAAAAAGGGAGAGGCACCAGAGACTCCATGAAGTCCAATAGGGACTCTATTATTGCTGTTGATTTTATGTGGAAGGCACTCACATACTACGATGAGAGGCAGCAGTATAAAATCTTAAGACAGAGACTCATTCTGCATCACAGATGTACATAGAAGTGTCAGGCTTCCAACATTCTTCCCAATACATCTTTAATTTGACAGTCCACGTTCCTATGTTGAGATTTTTTTTTAATTAAAGAAAGTGGCAATCATGCAACTTTGCTCTAGATCCAGTTAAATGGGAAACGGAAACATATGAAATGCATGAGGATACTTACCAACTGCAAAGCCGAGATTTCAAAACCCCCATCAAGGATGGCTTTTATGATCTTTCCAGTTAGCCCTTTGGAGATACAAACACACACATTCATAAAATAATTAATGAAATTTACAGTATATAGGTATAGCAGGTACTTCATATACTACCTGTTTTCTTGTCAAAACACAGCATTTATGTTATCTCTATAAAGCTGAAATAAAGCAGAGCAGAATTCAGATATCCTAACCTTTCTGAAATCCTTTGGAAGTGATTCTCCAAATGAGTTTTCATTCAGTTGTTGAAATAACTTTTTGCAGTAATGTATGAATAATGTGATTGGTGAAATCCTGGCCATATTGAAGTCAATGGCAAAACTCCCACTGACTTCACCCTATATTTGCACCCAAAACTCCATTTATATAAACATCCATTTAAAATATTTAGATTGCAAGCTCCTCAGGATAGGGACTGTCTACTACTCTGTGTGAGTACTGCACAATGGGGCCCCACTCTTGGTTAGTCCCTAGGCACAACTGTAACAAACATGATTAATTAAATGCGTACAAAAGCTCATTCCTGATGTAACTCCATGGAAGTCCATGAAGGTACAACAGAGAAAAATATGGTCCCACACCTTTTTGGAGCTCGTTCTTGAAAACACTTACTATTGAGTATACCTACCCATCAGGGCCGGCTCCAGGCACCAGCGCAGCAAGCTGGTGCTTGGGGCGGCCCATGGAAGGGGGTGGCACGTCTGGGTCTTCGGCGGCGGGTCCCTCAGTTCCTCTCGGAGGGAAGGACCGGCTGCCAAATTGCCGCCGAAGAATGTAGCGGCGCAGTAGAGCAGCTGCCAAAGTGCCGCCGATCGTGGCTTTTTTTTTCCCCCCCCTCTTCGCCGCTTGGGATGGCAAAAAAGCTGGAGCTGGTCCTGCTACCCATCAACAAACCCACTGAAGTGGGGTGGGATGGGACTTGTGTTCACAGGATCAGATCCTTTGACAAACTATGTCAGTCTAGCATACAATGCAACAGTAGGCAGAACTTAGTAGAAACACTGTAACCACAGGATAACCCAGCCTGTGCTCCAGAACTTCCTGCAACTCTCAGGAGCACTTCATCTAGTTCTAGGGCAGGGGTCCCCAACGCGGTGCCTGCGGGCGCCATGGCGCCAGCCGTGGCATCTATGTGCACCCATCTACTGGCCGCCGGAAAAGCAGCCGCCAAAATACCGCCGAGAAGCGGCAACGTCAAGAAGTGTCGCCGCCGAAATGCCGCTGATTTTCGGCGGCATTTCGGCGGCGACGCCTCTTGATGACACTACTTCTCGACGGCATTTCGGCAGCTGCTTGTCCGGCGGCCACGCTCCTCAGCAGCTAGTCATCAGGCGCCCGCCACACTGAAAAGGTTGGGGACCACTGTTCTAGGGTTTCCAGACATTTGTTCAAGAGCAAGCAGAGATGATCATAGAGATGTCCCCATACTGAAGACCAAATGAGGCACAGGGAACTTGAAGTAAATTAACTGGTGCTCCCAGGATTTCTTCTTGTTGTTCCAAGAAGGCAAAGGGAACGGGAAAGAAGAGAGAGGGGAAAATGCCTTCCATTCTCTTCTAGTAGCCTGTCTTAGGGGCAGGGGAGGGAGAGGACAAGGTGTAGAGCCACAGAATAACCATACTGAGACATCCTGCCATTGTGTTGTGATGTTTGTATTGAGGTATTGTTATTTCTTTAGATGAGTATACTGGGGCACACTATGGTGATGGATGCAATATAAACACCTAGACAGCCTATATGACAAAGAGATGGGGCTTACACTTCGTCATTCAAAGTCCAAGAAAGACATTTGGTAAAAAGTTTACCAAAAAGCAGAAGGCACATGGAGTACAATGGATGAGAGTTACTGAGCAGAATCCATCACTCGATCTATAGGCATTCAATGTAAAGTATTTGCTCAACACTTGCAGATATGGGGTGAAGTCTGCTCCTATTGAAGTCAATGGCAAAACTTCCATTGACTTCAATGGAGCAAGGATTGACGCATGGTCATTAAATGCCTTAATTAACAATTCTCTAATATGAAAGGTCCAGAATAAGCTCAGTAGCTATGACTATGACTGAAAACTAATAATCAAGTTTCCTAAATGCTCAGGACCTGAATCCTGCAGGACCCACAGATTTCTCCAGCACAGCGGCGCTGAATTTTGCATCACACTAACATATTGATGGCAGCTTCAGCTAAATTCAAGAAGAGGGGCAAGTTCTTTATTTGATTTAGTGCAGTACCTCCAATATCGTCTTCTGTCGTTTTCATGTTAAATTCAATACAAATTGCAATTTGAGGAAGCTTTTCAATTTATGCTTTCCCCAAAATTTCCCATTTTCAAAATGTGACCTATTTTTGTTATGGAGGGAAATCTGGAGGTTTTGGCATCTGGCTGAGGGCCAGCTGTTTGGAATTTTGGCATTTAGAAATGAGTGGAGACCGAGTTTTTGGTGTCAAGGTATGTTTTGATATGGTGCCTCACAAACATTAATAAATGTATCATCACAATACTTCTGTGAGATTGGTAACATTGGGATAACATCTACCCTATGGGGACTGAGGCCCAGAGAGATGAATGTGCCCAAGATCACACAAGAAACCTGAGGTAGAATCTATCTTAACTGGTCATATGGCCCCTCCCTTACCACAGGATCTAAGCAGCTCCTAATTTTTAACGTACTTAACCTCACAACACCCCTGTAGGTAGGTAGATATTATCCCCATTATACAGAGAGCTGACCGAGGCACAGAGATATAATGGGCATGTCTACACTGCAATGTAAGCCCAGGCTCAGATTCAGGCTTGAGCTCAAACCCCCTTTCCATCTACAAACAAATCTCTCAGACTGACTCAGACCTAGGATCCCAGGACACCGTGGGGATGGAGGGTTCAAGACCAAGTCAAGACCAGACCCAGGGTTTGAGCCCTATTGCTTTGCAGTGTAGACTCAGCCTAATTGACTTGCCCAAGGTCACTCAGGAAATCTGTGGCAGAGAAGGGAATTGTCACTGTGACGTTGCATCCCATAATGCTTTATGGAAATATGCTTATGAAAGTAAATATGACATAACTGGAATATGTTTTATGCTAGATAGGCCATGTAACATATCTCTGCAAAGGTTATGATCTACTGAATATATTCATCCTATTTGTATGCATGTATCATTTTTGTACTCAAAGTTATGAATATTGGCTGTGTACTTGTTTGATTTTAAGTAGCCTTAGTAAGGCATTTGGTCAGCTTCTTTAGAAAGGAATTCGCAAGTTAAGTGCCCAATCAATAAACACTTAACAGACAATGGATCTTGGAAGACTCCAATCCACATAAGAAGTCTACCTGAGGACGTTCAAGGTGGCATGTGAACAATGGCTTCTACCTGTAAGTTCTGAGTCATGCATGGATATGTGACTTGCTCATGTGACTCCAAAACTCCATTTTGTAACTGGATTCTACACAGGGGAAGGGAGGGGTGTCCACCCACAAGAGAAAGTCTATTTAAACCCCTGGGAGACCCCTCCATTTTGTCTTCAGCTGGCTCAAGAGATAGCCTCTCCACCCCCAAAGGATACCTGAAAAAAACTGGAACAAAGGACAGTAACCACGGGGGTGTGAGCGATTGCTGGACCCAGACTAGAAAGAGGCTAGTCTGTAAAAGAAGTTTACTGGAACATCTCTGAGGGTGAGGTTTCATCTGTAATCACATTCTTACTGTATTAGGCATAGACTTGCATGTTTTATTTTATTTTGTTTGGTAATTTACTTTGTTCTGTCTGTTACTACTTGGAACCACTTAAATCCTACTTTTTGTATTTAATAAAATCACATTTTACTTATTAATTAACCCAGAGTATGTATTAATACCTGTAGGGGCAAACAGCTGTGCATCTCTCTCTATCAGTGTTATAGAGGACGAACAATTTATGAGTTTACCCTGTATAAGCTTTATACAGGATAAAACGGATTTATTTGGGGTTTGTTCCCCATTGGGAGTTGGGCATCTGAATGCTGGAGACAGGAACACTTCTTAAGCCGTTTTCAGTTAAGCCTGCAGCTTTTGGGGGATGTGGTTCAGACCTGGGTTTGGGTTTGCAGCAGGCTAGCGTGTCTGGCTCAAACCAGGCAGGGTACTGGAGTTCCAAGCTGGCAAGGAAAACAGGTTAGAAGTAGTGTCAGCACATCAGTTGGCAGTTCCCAAGGGGGTTTCTGTGATCCAACCCGTCACAGTCACCATTCTACATTCAACAATTAAGGGATTACTAGGACAGTTGCAGAGGGAAAAGAGGAAGGGATCCTCCATCCCCTAAATTCCTACAACCAACAGCCACATTTGGGGGGGGGAGGGGGAGCCAAGAAAGAAAGGGAAGAAGCAAAGGAATAGCAAAGGCTGAACTACTTGTTGTGAAATAGCTGCTGTACCACTGGCTGAAGATCTCTGTTTTTAAACTTTATCATTAATAACGGTTAGCCATTCACCAGTCTATCTGGTTGGCACACGCACACTGTTTGATTAAAATATTCATCATGTATCTGGGCCTGTGGGTAACATAGACCTGCTCTCTACTGGACTTTTATACTCACCGGTTTTAAATGCAGTTAGTAAAATCTATGTTGTAGAGGAATAAAGGATACCGGAATTCTACCATTCAACTTTTTGTGTTTCTTCTTTACTAAGGTTATTAAGATTTTGCTCATCTGGGGGAGAGAAGACAGACTACTTCGTGAGAGGGGATCAGATATGTTTGGAACACTTTAACCCAGTTCCTTTGGCACAAAGTTCTTTAAATAATGAACCATGATAGATCCATCAATATGTACTTTTCTCCCATGGCACTTTCAGATTTCATCCTAGCTGCAGAATTTCTTGTGCTTCCAGAAAGATCTCAGTACTACAGCATTTCAAAAGCTGAACCAATGGAATTCATTTCACTGACCCATGTCATCCTCTCCCATAGCAAAATGTCTGGGAGAAGAATTCCCCCCCCAAAATCTCCTCATGATAATCCTCCTCAACTATTCAGAGTAAGAGGGTTAGGACTTCCC